GGAATCTGTTATTAATTCTGTATTGTTTATGTAAAGATTTCCATTTGTACAACCCGATGTGTCTAATACGTAAAACTAAAAAATGTTAAAAGATAAAGTCAATTATTGTAGCAGTCAGCACAACTTAATTAAAGTCATTTCGAATATATTGCATACGTGGGAAGTTGAACAAACTTGTTGATTTTTGCAGAGTTGAAGCAATTTTAAAAAACCATCTAATTTTATGTCCAATAGCAAATTCTGCACATCGTGTGTGTAAATAAACTCCAGTTTAATCCAATTTACATGCAACAGGAGAAAGCTTTAAAAATCATAAATAAACCAACCACTTCCTTATTTGTTAAACTACACACCCTGAAAATTTTATTAATCTTAATGCTATACTCACAAAACACAAAGCACAAAATAATCTAAATCTAAAGTGCATTCAGAGGCTGTTTGAAATGAGAGAGTAACAGTTTGAACTCAGGGCGGAAAAGTAGGGGTCCGGACAAATATTGAGGGATTAACTTGTGGAACATTTGTGTTGAAGAATTAGGATTCTGTACTTCAATATGAAAATGTAAAATAACTGTTTAAAAGTAAAGTGGTAACCAACTTTAGTGCTGATGTATGGTTTTCATTTTTTTTATTATCTATTAATTTGGTGAGATGTTATAAATTTCTTGTTATTTAGAAAAAAAAAAACGGTAGATTTAACAGCCTGATATTTTAGCCTACACCTTTTTGTTTTAATGGTCATTATGGTTGTAAATACTGTAAACAGCGATCAAAATATTTTTTTAAAGAAACCATTTAAAGACCTTAACATCAAAAGTGTTAAATAAAGTATTAATTTTCTGCATCTGCAAACATTTTTGCTTCTGCCTATGTTATACTGATGCTTTTATTTCTTGGCAGTTTTGGGAAGTGATAAGTGAAGAACATGGGATCAACGCAACAGGCATTTACGAAGGAGACAGCAACATCCAACTGGAGAGGGTCAACGTCTACTTCAACGAGGCGCACGGTGCGTTGTTAACTTGAGCTGCTTTATCTGGCTTGATAAATTTCAAATTTTTATTTATAAATTCCAGCTGTTTACAAATTTACAAATAAACAATATTAAAATTAATGAAGTCTTTTTTAAAACTTCAACTGTGTTTGCAGGTGGTAAATATGTCCCCAGGGCCCTACTGGTGGACCTGGAGCCTGGCACCATGGACAGTGTAAGAGGAAGCCGCATTGGGGCCCTTTTTAGACCAGACAACTTCATCCATGGTGAGATAATCAATAATATGCAAACTCTGAAACTATGAAACTTTCTGTCTCACATTTCTGTGCTTTTGATTTTCATGACTTTTTGAGAAAGGAGGCTATATGCAGTTTACTATATTATACACTACATGTTGTGCTTTGGATTTAGAAAGCTCTTGAATAGAGTTGTACAGTGTAAATGTTATATTATTTTTAGAATATTAGCCTTGCAGTAAGAAAATAATAAGGTTTCCATCTTGGCTTCATTTAAAAAAACAAAACAACAAAAAACTGAATTTGACTTATTGAATTTCAGAAAGTAAAACTGGTAAAACTGATAAAAAATTATTGCAAACCTGTGAAAAG